AAATATTTTCTAATATTTCAGGATTTAATTTAGTTCTTTGCGCAGAGAGTATAAACTTAAGGCTAGAAAATGCTCTTTCTACGGATACCTGCGTAGCTGGAACTGCTAGCACAACCATAGCTAACTTATAAAGTTCTGGCATACTATTCTTTACATTTTCCCAATAATTCAAAAGATTTGCATCTTTTTCTAATCTCTCTATATTATCAAATGACCGAATTATATACTCTATTTCTACACATTTATTATAATTTTCTATGCCCTGAGAACTATTCTTATTAAGGCTTTCATGCGACATTAATAAATCTTCAAAATCATCATCTAAGTTATCTTTCGAATGTGAACACGTAGGAATAGTATCTAGATTTTCAATATTCTGATTATTTAAATTTTGGATTAAGTTCCAAGTTTTATAAAGATGTTTTTTGGCGATATCTTTTTCTTCAAATGATCAAAATACATTATATCTTGGGTCGAGATATATAGCTGAGCAAAAAACTTCATTTTTCAAATTAATCTCTCGTGCTTTGATTGTACAAACTAAAAGTTTGGCAAATGAAGTGTCTATTTTGCTAGTTTGCATGATACATTTGATCCATGCTGCATAAAAATCGCCCATGGTCATTTGTTCACTTTGTATATATTTTGTCAAAATATAAGATGGATATAAAGCTTTTAATATATCACTAATTATTTTCCATTCATTCTCTGACAAACATTTTTCACGATCATTACTTTGGGCCGATATTTCTTGGCAAAAGTTTTTTAACTCTAATAATCTTTCCAACATTAAATAGATTGAATTCCATCTTGTGCAACAATCTATTAGTGGCTTTTTTAAATTTAATTTGGACAAAATAGACATTGTAGTCTGATTTCTTATTTTTTTGCAAATGTTTCTTGCTTTATTAATAATAACAATTTCATTTGAATTTTTTATGCAATCATTAATTGCTAATTGAAATGTGTGGGAGGCACATCTAATGCCCATTAACATGGATCTCGTATGAGGTACAGTATTAATACTTTCAATATTAAAAAAAGGTTCTTCATTTTCATTAACAATTATATCATCATTGTTATTTAAATTATCATTATCTAAATAATCATTAAGGATATCATCTTCATCATCTTCTTCATCATGATGTATTAACAGCTTGATTAATTTAATCATGTTAGCTGCATTGTCTGTGGTTATCGTATAAATTTGATCAATTCTTATTTCATGTCCGTTTAGAACATCTAGAATAATTTTTTTTAGATATTCTGATGTATGTCTTTCTTTTATCTCTTTCATGCATAACGTTCTTAATTTTATTTCTCCATTATCTATAAATTGAATATTGATCCCCAGTATGGACCTATCATATCGAGTTGCAATATCTAATTTTAACGATATAAATTTTTGGTATATTTCTTTTTTTAAATTTTGCGAAAAATCAAATACCATTTTTTTAATATTATTGCGTATATTTTCAGAATTGATGGTTAAATTACCACCCAATCCCACAATTATCGGATCTATAATATTTCTAAATGCTTTGTCATCAATTGATTTTATTGGTCTCCCATGAACTGTGATTAACTAAGTGCAGGAGCGGATTAAAGTGTCTTTATTAATATTAATTTGTATTGTATTAGTTTTGGTAAAAGCATTTGGAATTGTATTGATTATTTGCATTTTTTGTTATTGTTTTTTTAATAGTCAAATTATCTTTTTTTTTAATAATTTGAATTCCTTATCGTGGAATCTTTCTATATGTCGTTCAAGATTTGCTGCAGGGTCCCCGGTTAAAACTTTACCGCAGTTTTCTAGTTTACAAGTAGATTGATTTTTTACAATATCTAATTTAAAATATGATCGCACAGGATTTGACTTTTCCCGAACCATTTAATAGATACTAATATGCTATATGATGATGAATAGATCAGAATCTTTTATTATAAAAATAGAATAAATAAATTTCTTAATAGAATCAGTATAATTTTTTATTTATCTTATCTGACAAGATCTCCCCCAAAAACGTGAATTATATGCAGGCCTACCCTTCATATAATTATGCCGATTTTTTCCTCAAAGATACTAACAACAAACCTTGTACACAGATGAAACTAAATAAGTGAATGGAGCTTACTAATACCATTTTAATAAATAATTTGATTTAATAGAGAAAAGAAAGAAGCAAAAAGATAAGATATAAAATAAGAAGAAAAGAAATAGAAAAGCTGTTTAAAATTCCAAAAACAACTGTCATTTATTAAAAAATTAAAGTTAATTAAATTAAAACTTTAATGGATACTTTATCATTTTATAATTATCCAATTGAATTTCATGTGTTTTAATTTTATTTGGTACTATAAGATTTAGAAGGTTAATCAGTAAGTAGTTTTTATTTCAAGAAATTATCCACTAAAGTGTAAATGGAAATAAATAAATAAATTAACCATAAAATACAGGAATATTAAATAACAATGATATGTTTTTTTTTAATTTCAGAATTCTAATATTCATTTAAGTCATTATAAATTATTCATTATGAAAATATTAATTAATAAGAAATTAATATAAAACAGTATTTTATTAAAAGTAATCAGTACCTGATTTTCTTTAGATGTTAGTTAGAATTATGATTTTTCCCAAATTATTCGCAAGTATTAATAAGCTAATTAATAACTAATATACATATATATATATATATAAGAATAAACTTGTTAATTTAAAGAATAGTCTTGTTTGATTTTAAGATTCTTATCTAATTAACTGGTAATTCGCCTAATCTCTATTAAATTGAGTATTTATTAAAGTGAAAAGAAAAAACAATAAACATGGTGGTATTAATTGACATGTAAAAAAAATTCAATTTGAAAAGAAATAAAGAGTTTAAAAATTTCCCTAAGGAAAATTCAAATTTCAAATTTAGGTTAATAATGTTTAAATTTAATTATTTTTTAAAACCGTTTTGAACCGGTTTAAAATATTTATAACGGTTCGGTTCGCTCTTTTTATAGTTTCTTTATAACGGTTCGGTTATGGTTACGGTTCAGAAAATTATAACGGTTCATTCCGGTTTGGCTGTTCGGTTCGGTTCGAAACCCTGGTATAGGGTTTGCAATAAATCAAGCTAATTGGCAAAAGATTGCCTTATAATTTGAGAAGTATAATTTAAATTGTCTTGTATCATTTTTTAATCTTTATTAGATAATAAAACTGAATTTTTGGATGCTTTATCAAAGGCACAAGATTTAACGAAGGGAAGAAAAATCTTACTTTTGATTTTAAAAATTCTAGGCTTAAAACATTACAATTCAAAAAGGAAAAATATTTCATTCTTAAAATATATTTTATTTTAAAATCAGTGTTCTATGCTGCACTTAATTTGAAAATAATGCAGTTTAATTAAAGATTTAATGATGAATCAATGAAATTTTTAAATCAAACATTATTTTACTCCAAAGGAAATGGAGAAAAAACATTCGTTAAAATGATATCGAGGATATCTGTGAATTTTACCATTTTATTCGAATTCGGTTTTTGAAGATATCAAAGTCATATTTATATGATGGCTAAATGGAGGGATGTAATGATAACAAATGACCTGGGGGTTAAAGAATTTAAACGTGTCAGATTCTGAGAAATAAATTTATTAAAATATTTGTATTATTTAGTTTCTTCTTTTGATGATGTTTCTGAGACTTGTAGTTCAGCCTAAACTATTCGTTATTTTACATTATCGTTTACTTTTTCTGCTTTCCCAATTTATCAATTTTATATAAATATTTATTAACTATTTCTATTATCATGTATTCCGAAAGGCTTATGAGTAAAATTAAACAAGACTTTGTAGTACCATGAAAAATCACTTTCGTCAAGCAGCACCTAGACTGGAATCCTCAAAACCATGTTAAATTTAAGAACTGGAAGGCACTTTACAAAATTTTAGGCAGTGAAACTCCCTTTTAAAAAAAATAATCAGAATCGGAACCGATATCTATTATTTAAATATTTTGGTGAAAATAAATAACATTTTATGATACTATTTTCAGTGCAAACAGATATTATAATATGGTGTTTTTTAAGTCAGTTTATTTAATTCAAATTGTCTTTTCATTTGCAATCTTTTGGTAGTGTTCTTAAACGGCTAGATTTGAGCCGATTTTTAAAAACGGCTAACTCAATATTTTAACCAGAAAATATTACCCAAGCCTGAAGTTTTTGCTAGTGAATGACACAAAGGTTTAAAATCTGTTAGTAAAATTCCGATGATTAGGCAGTACCTTTCTGGATAAAATATTGTAGTCATTTTTAAAAATCGGCTCAAATCGAGCAGTTTAAAGCCCTACTTTTGGTTAAAAAAAATTGTAAATAAATAATTTTGTGTAATAAAAAAAATGAGTTATACAAATAATTTATAAGGTAGCTTTCAATGTAACTACTTACTTTTGAAACCTAACTAACTACAAGTTACTTTTTTATAACGTTACATTTTCGAGAATGTTTTAATTTGTAACTGTGCTTTTCAAAAGAACTTTAAATTGATAACCAATCCAATAGTAATAATATATTGGTTTAAAGCAATTTAATTATTCAAAATTTAATTATACAAATATCTTATATTTTAGATTCATTTAGTAAATTTTGGGCTTTATTTCTTGGATAACGCTAAAAAAATATTTTATTTATTATTTAACTTGAGATATATTTTTGTTTTAAATTTATCGCAAGATATATTGGTGCATTAATTAAGATTAAATATAAGATCACTTATCTAAATTTATTATATAAATTTTGTGATAGCAATACTTTTTTATTTTATCTATGAAAAGAAAATATACATTAATATCAATTATGTATTTATGATACAGTAATTGAAGTCAAAATAAAAATCAAAACTTAAATAAATGCTGACTCTTAAACTTTTCTAATGAACAAGCATTCAACATAAATCCTTTTTAAAAATGATTCGAGAGTGTTTTAATAATAATAAAAATAACGAGTTTTATTCCTAAGTTGTTTGGATAAATTGTTAAAAAAACGATATTGTTTAAACTTTAAACCAATACAATAGTTTCAATACCAATATTATGGTATTGTAAGCCAGCCTTACCCAGCCCTGTAATAAATATATTTACATGATTAATTTTTATCAATAATTTTCTATAATGGATACAGAATGTAATTTCAGATACATTTGTTTGCAAATTTACAATTCTACTAAATTAAATATAACGTGTATATAAATAATAATTAATATCTTTGTTATAATCATATAAAAATGCGATCTGATTGCAAAATATTAATTTGATTGGTCTGAAAATAATAATAAATTCATAACGTTTTCCAATATAATTGTTAAACGATATTCTAATTAATAGCTCTCTTAACATTAACAGGAACCATAAACATGGGTCCATGACCTGGAATGATGTGATCAGCTAGTTTGAGAATTTTGTTTCTACTTAGGGTTTGCAAATCGATGTCAAAGCTATTCCTCTGCCACAAAATTGGATCATTTAGGTCTTCCAATTTTTCAAATATATCTCCTGTAATTTAGTTTTTTTTTAAATAAATAATTTATATAACAGGTGATGTTCGACTGAACCATACATAAATCGAGATTTAGGCAAAACCCTTATCGGAGGATTAAAATTTTTTTATTTTCCCGCTAACTTTCAAAAACTTGTTATAAAATGAAATCAAAAGAATTTCATTTTTTAATAAAAAAGATCATTTTTCTGGTTGAGTTATGTGCTAGACTGTCCAGCAATATTATGGGTAGACTAAAAAAAATCAACAAATTAAGGATAATCAATTTATTTTAAAAATCTATTTTGTTTGATTATCGATATTTTCCAAATTTTATAGGTCAGCTGCCGAGTCAACCCGGGTTTTGCAGATCTTTAATTGGTATCTTCAAATTCGTCCCAAAATTCTGCTTATGGGGTTTTCAAAACACTTATCTTTTAAATGTAATAACTTAGCCAAATATAAATATTTGGGGCTATAATTTGGCTTATACATCATGTAAAAGTTAATTTATCATTTAAAATTATAACCACCATTATATCATAAATAAATTTGTAAAAGATATGATAAATTTTCTTGAAGTACCAAAAAATCATTTTTTAAAAAAACAACCTTATTACAAAAAAAAATTATTATATTAAAGATTTATAATGTTTTTTTTGATAATATTTTTTTTCATTTATTAACAAGATTTAAGCACTTTAGAATGAGGACCCTCTTTTATTAGTTATGAATTAAGATGATGTCGTTATAAGAGTAAATTAAAAAAATGACTCACAAGTAATTAAATTAAACTATATTTATGGAAGATCATAAATTTTATTGCCAGTATTTTATAAAAAATATATAAACAATTGAAATGTGTGTAATTAACGCGCCACTTTTTTCGTTGAGGTAGTTTAGCGCTCTACTTTAAAAAAATAGCGGTGGTAGCTGGCTACGAATTTACAATTTTATAAAATAAATGCCCACAAAATTGTTAAAATATATTTATAATTAATTCTAAAATAATCTTTTATTTTATTTTATTTTAAAATTTATATTTTAAAATCTGCATTATCAATCTAGTTTTCAAAATAATTTAAAATGTTGACAATAGAGATTGATGAAGATAATTTTTGTAATCGACAAAGTAGCTTCCCTAAAAAATGATAATATTATGGAATTTTCTTTTTCTGAATTCGCAAAACATATTAATCCCGATAAAAAAATTAACACAGGGTATAAATTTCATAAAAGATATTCCAAAAGGTTTTATCATTAAACAAGACTAGTAATTTCAACGAGAAAACATTTAAAAGTAATATATCCAACTTTAATATCAATGTGTGGCCCAATCCTTAATCTTTAAAATAAAATTTGAATCAAAGCTATATCTATAATAGTTTTTGAGCTGGATGAGTTTATGTGAGTTGATTTTCTGGCCCAGTCTATACATGGTATGTTTCAACTGAACTGGCCATAAGATATTTAGGAATTAAATATTAACATTAATTTTATCATCAGACACATCTATTTAATGTAATGATAATACTTTATAAATTATTACCTGGATGTTAAACATGTTTAAAATTGTATACTCATCTATTTATATATTTATAAATTTTATCAAAATTTGCTAAAAAATAATGATTCAATTCTTTGACATTTTAACCAATTTTGAGAGAAGTTGCTTCAATAGATAAAAAGTCAATAAAAGCCTATTATATTTTTTGAAAATTAATTTATAATCTGAATTTTCTAAGGGTAGCTGGCGTGGTGCTGGCTATGTGTCTTGATTTTATATTTTTAAAAAAAATTTGCTATGGGAGGAGGATTCCACCCGCTGGCGACCGGCGATTTGATTTATTAGAATAGAATAAAATATATTTAAATAAAAATAATTAAAAGTCATCTAAAAGAGATTGCTTTTTTACATTATAATTATTGAACCATGCAATTAATAACATTTCAGTCATTCCATGTCACATGAGCAAGAAAATCGAGATTTTAGGCCGACTACTTTCAATTTGGATAAAAATTTGTAAGCATGTTATATATGTCCTAGTAATATCTGAAACGAAATTTTAGCTCATTAGTTTAATAAATTTGGACTGCGCCAATAACCCAATATACACAATTATCACCCTATCTATTATATAAACATATAAATTCATTATAAAACATTAATTACATTATAACCATTAATGTCTAATTTACTGGAGATTAAAGGTACAAAATCGGGTTTTTTAAATATTTTACTGATGTTAAATAATTAGTTTTAAATTAAAGGCTAAATTATTTCAAATATTTATAATATTAAACTAAGTCAATAATTGATAATTATGGGGAAAATATCGAAATTAATTTATTAAAAATTCAAATATATTATGAGCTCCAATTTTCAAATTTTTATTTTCTATAATTCTTTTACTATTTTCTAATATTTCTACAATAATTAATACGGCTAGATAATTATTTAAAATATTACGAATTATCTATCAAAAAACTTCTAGATGGCGCTATATGAACACTTCAATGCGATAAAAGGTTTTTCCTATCGTTAAATATCATTTTAAGGCATTATAATTGAATTAAGAGTAATCATGCATATTGGAAAAGCATTTTTCTAGAATATTTATTCTTAAATATGGCTAAAAAAAATTTTCACATAGATTTTGACCAAAATAATATTATAAGTCTCGAGATTTGGCAAATAGAGGCTCAAACCTTCTGCCATCTATGAGCAAAATCTTCCGGCTTACATAATATTATTTTGGCTAAAATCTTAATAGGGTTATTTAAAAAAAATCGACTAAAATCAGGCTATTTAACAACATTACCCTTGAAATAATTTTAAACGATTAAAAAGGCCTTATTGCATTGAAATGTTTTTTTTAGAGGTCTGCATTGGGGGATTTTTAGCCCGCCCACGCTCGCCCGCCTAATTTCTGGAGGGCGTGTTCGGGGTTTTTTTAAAATATTTTTACCATTAGGCGGGTGGCAGTCGGGTTAAATTAAATTGAAAAGTGGGGGTGGGGGCAGGGTAAATTTTTAATATTTTTTTAGGCGAAATGAGCAGAACAGACTTCAATTTATTTGAAATAATAGTTTTATTTTATAATATTGCATATTATATATGTTTTAATTAAAAATATATTAAAATAAATATATAGAGCCATTAAAATAATTTTAAAACAATAGGTGGGCAGGCGGGTTAAACAAAATTTATAAAAAAAATTCAAAACAAATGGGCGGGCTTTTTGGCCAAAAACCCACCCATTGCAGACTTATAGCTCATATATAGTACCATCTATACGTTTTTAATACATTATTTGTGATATTTTTTATATAATTACCCAGATGTGCTAATTTAAGAAATTATTAGAAAAATAGTAAATGAATAGAAGATAAAATTTGAAAAATTGAAACTCATAGTAATAATCATTTCAAAATATTAATTTGAAATTTTTTACTGAACAGATATTTTTAAAAATTTAATTTTGATGCCCCCCTCCCTCCCCTTTAATTATCAAATTTTGACTGACAGGTATTAATATTAGATTCAATATTCAAACTTATTTGTTTTTAATTTTAAACTAATTAATTAATATCAGTAAAAACTAAAAATTGATTTCTGTACCTTTAATTCTCCATATCAGGTAATATAATTAATTTTTATCAAAATTGAAAGGGGTCAGCTAAAAGATGTTTGATTTGACATGGAATAACCCTAAAATAAATTAAAATTAAATATCATTTGATAGTTTTCACTATTCATTTAATAACTATTCATATCAATCTCAGTGTAACAAATTTAGTTTCATAATTTTATATGGTTTTGGAGAATTGTAATAAAATTATAAGAGCTGGCTAAGCCTGAAGCCCAGTTTGGGTGCACAAGTCTGATTTTAATTTTTAGGAATACACAGGTCGGGCCTAAAAAAATGTTTTTTCAATTCCCAGGCTGGTTCCTAAAAAATATTTTCGAAAAAAAACCTGGACCCAAAGTCATATATTTTAAATCACCATTATTAGCTAAAAAAATTTAAAATAAATGTAATATTTTAAAACATCTGGACCAGACCAAAAAATTTTTTAAAATAAAGAATCCAGTCAAGGCTGGGCATGAAAATAAAAAAAACCAAGGCAGGTCGAAAAATTTTTTAAATTCAAGTCAGGTAGTTAAAATAGTATCTCTGCAGGTCTCTGAAGGTCATACCATAAATATATAAGTATTATTCTTAGTTAAAAATATAAGTTTTGGCTTATTTGTATAAAATGATTAATCCCAAACCATTTTAGTTAAGTCTATTTTTAAAATATAGTTTTTTTAATTAATGATAAAATGTTCTAATATTGCTGATACATTTTTAGCATTGGTGGCTAAAATAATATTTATGAATTTGTTTTTCAATAATGTAAGATGAGTATAACTAAATGGGTTAAAAAAATTGTAAAAGTTTTTGTTAAATTACTAAAGCAGGCTTAGCAAAAACCGTTTATATATGTAAATATATTTAAAATAAATCAAAAATAAACCTGAAATTATAATATTTCCTTTGTCAATAGTTTTTATGGTTACACTAATATCTGCATCTGTATGACCAGGAGTAGAAAATATATTAATAGTTTCATTTATTTTAAAATTATCATTCTTCAATAATTAAAATTATCTAACCATTTAAAATTTATACTTTAATAAATGGTCCTTCAAAAAACATATCTACACAAGAGATATCATGACCAACAATATGTTTATCTGCATTGAGAAATAGATTTAGGTTACCTACATGGTCAGAATGGCAATGGGTACAAACAACCAAATTAATTTCATTCGTTAAAATATCAAATTCCTTCATTTCTTAAAATAATTAATTTTTCAATTAATGCTATAATACTCGAAATTATATATTCTTTATCCCATGGGTTACCAACATCTACTATAATGATAGAAGTTCCTCTTATAATAGTTATCGAACAATCAGCTTTTTGATAACCATCGCAAATATTTGAGTAACCCTCTTTCAAAATCAAGATTTCATATCGATCGCACATGCTGTTAAAATTATTTGACCATATGATGGCAATTAATTTATTTTTCGGTGTAACTTAACTTAGAATTGACAGGTAAATTGAGAATGGACAAACTGAGAATTGACAGGTAAAATTTATTTTTATTTTATAGCCTATCCAATGACATAATTGAGCCTATCAATTTTATTTTAAAAATATAAATAAAATGTTTTTATTATATAAATCAAATTTATCCAAAATTAATTTTATCTAAATAAATAAAATAGAATATAGAAGAAATTGTAGTCCATATATTTAAAATATGTATAGAACAAATATGTTACATAGAAAATATAATCCCCATAATAAATTTTAAAAATCATAAATATATTTCCGTTAGATGGCGTAATAGACTAAAAATTTAGTTTTTAAAATTTGAATTATAGAAGCATTAATCTTTACTTTGGATTAATTTATTTGGTACAAACTGATATAAACATAAAATGAAAAATATTTTAAGTTTCTGTCCTTATTTTTTGAGTTATGATGTCAATTCTCAGTTTCGTCAAAAAATCTTAGATTTTTGGGATTTTAAAAATATTTTATTTTTTGACTCATTTTGTGTAAACTTACTAATATAAACATAAAATGAAAAAAATTTTAAGTTTCCTTCATTATTTTTTGAGTTATGATGTCAATTCTCAGTTTAGTTAATTTTTTTTAGATTTTAAGGATTTTAAAAATATTTTATTTTTTTTACTCATTTTGTGTAAACTTACTCATATAAAAATAAAATTAAAAAAATTTTAAATTTCGGTCATTATTTTTTAAGTTATAATGTCAATTTTCAGTTTAGTCAATTTTTTTAGATCTTTGGGATTTTAAAAATATTTTTTTTTTAAACTCATTTTGTGTAAACTTACTCATATAAAAAAATAAAATATTTTTAAAATCCCAAAAATCTAAAAAAAATTGACTAGACTGAGAATTGACATTATAACTCAAAAAGTAATGAAGAAAACTTAAATTTTTTTTTATTTTATGTTTCTGATTTAATTAAGAAAAAGGACAATTAATATTATTGTAAATCGAAATTCAAACCCATTTAAAGGGTGTTGCTAGAAAGTAAATTTTTATATTATGAAGATGAAATTCAAAAAAATTTACATTTTTAAACCCTAGATGAATTCAGAATATATCAATTGACAATTTAAAAGAGGAGCATTAGAGTAAAATTTGAGTGTTGGGATATTGGGATATATATTTATAATTGAATTAATAAAAAGGACATTTATTATTATTCCAAAACAAAGTTTATTATTTAAAAGGGAGTTGTAAGAAAGTAAATTTTTAGTATCTTGACAATGAACTAAAAATAATTAATAACACAATTATAAAAGGGGGAGCAGTTGGAATTGTTTATATTTTTATTATGTAAATCTATACTTAAATGAATTATAAATAAATTAAAGCAAAAGATAATATATTTAACTTTATAATTTTTTGTTTAATTTATTCTTGAAAATGAGGTTTTCAATGGCAATATAATCAGGTGAGCACTTTGCTCATAGGCTGCGATAAAATGCTGACTTTTGAGATCGGTCAAAAATAATTATATTTTATTATTCTTTATCATATAAGTTGTGACTTTTTCTTAACATATTCATATATTTTATAAATTAAAGGTTATCATATTGTTTTAACACTTAGAATATCAAATCAAAAGATGATTATCATTTAGAAATTTCTGTTTAACTAGTAGAAAGCCCGTCAAAAATGACGGGGAATGAGATTTTTATTCATTTTTTATGATAGATGTCATGCCAGGTTCATCCAATATTAGGAAGCATCCAAGATCTTATAATTTAAAAAAAGTTTATCAAGCCCAGCTCAACCCTTGATAATTTGTAAAAGATATTCCCAAGTCAGGTGCAAGCTAATATTGATTTTGAGGTTCCAAGCCCAGTCCTACCTATTATAATTTTAAAAATTTTTTCCCGCCTCGGAGATAGTTAAATTTTTAATATCATCACATGAACGGGAAATTCTGATTTACCAATTAGTCTAATATGGAAAAAAAACATGTAAATTAGGTATTAAGGGTAATTGGGAAGGCCTGGGCAACCACTTATTAGAGAATCATGACAAATAAAATAAAAATAACCGACTCTTGTACTTTTTTGTAATATGATCAATTAAAATTATATCTAAAAAATATGTTGTTATAGGGAGATAAATTTAATGCATGTCTTGCATTTCTGAAATTATTTGTCAAAGAATTTGATAAGGGATATATATTTTTTTATGTTAAGTAAAAAAAATGCTGTCTATTTAAATTACAAAAATGCCATTAAACACTAATGAAACTTATATGCAAATTATTTATGTATTTTTTATGATATTTTTTTTTATTGACATATAAATTTAGGATAATTTTTTTAAAAATAATGAGGATTATTTATTATGTATTTGATAAAATTAAGAACAAATACTTGTTGACATTTTAATTTTTGATGGAAAAAGCGACAAAATAAATCTGGGCGGTCGTCTGGAGAGGAAATAATTAATGTATAATTTTATATCATTTAGGGTTGTAGATGAAAGTGATGACGGATTAACAAAGCAGTGTACAAAACACATTAGGTCCTGATAAAGATGATATGCCTATGCCTTGGGATACTGGTAAAAGAAGAACGCAAAATGATATTTCTGTCAATGTCAGCATTGGTATCCCCCTCTAAAATAGAATCATAAACGACCATGTTAACTCAACCATAAAACGGTCGTAAGTATTGTTATAATGGCCACGACAGAACTACTGCATATATTTCTATTAATAAAATTGATTAAATTGGCCGTACTTTACATTCAAGTTTGAACACGCAAAACGATATTTCTGTCAATGTCAGCATTAGTATCCCCTTCTAAAATAGAATCATAAACGACAATGTTAACTCAGCCATAAAACGGTCGTAAGTATTGTTTTAAAGGCCACGACAGAACTACTGCATATTTTTCCATTAATAAAGTTGATGAAATTGGCCGTACTATACATTCAAGTTTGAACATTCCTCTAAATATTCATGAAAGTTTCTCAGAGAATCGGATAAACTAATATTTATATTAACTCCTAGTGAAGTGAATGATAGTACAGAATTAAATGTTTATATTTGTTAAAAAATAGGCGGAGGCATATGGATTGTGGTAGTGGTGATAGTATAATTTGGAGAACTGGGTGAAAATAAAATAAACATAGATATAAAACATAAGATAAAAAAAAAATAAAAATAAACCTCCAGATGAGTTCATTTCAAGCGTAGTTCTTTATTATTTTGTCTACCAGTAACTCTAGAATGGGAGGCGTTTGTTTAATCGTCATTATTTTCTTTGCTTATCTTTAATAATAGATTCATCAGTTTTGTAGCAATGTGAGGGATTAGGGTTAGCCTAGACAAATAAAGAAATCAGGCAAAAATATAAATAAACTATTGTTGAAATTAAACAAACATTAAAATAATGTAAAACCGATAGATGGGTCAATATTAGATGCATATATCTAGTAGTTGGAGGGCTATCATCAAAAAAAATTTTTGGGGGACTTATCAAGCCTATTATGATATTCTAAAAGTTAAAAAATAACATGATGAATGAAATGCTATTAAGATTAAGGTTAATTAATTGTAAGGTAATTAAAAAATAAGATTAAAAAAGGGGGGAAAAAAGAAGGTATAAATTATTATATTATAAAAATAATAAAAATTAAATTAAAGGAATTGATAAGGTTTGGCTATTATCAAAAAAAAATTTTGGGGGACTTATCAAGCCTATTATGATATTCTAAAAGTTAAAAAATAACATGATGAATGTAATGTTTTTAAGATTAAGGTTAATTAATTGTAAGGTTTTTAAAAAATAAGATTAAAAAGGGGGGGGGGGAAGAAGGTATAAATTATTATATTATAAAAATAATAAAAATTAAATTAAAAGAATTGATAAGGTTTTGAGAAATAGTGGTTAATAGATAATAGAGATAGAAAGAAAAGAATGAGATAATAAAATTTAGTGATAAATAAATTCATTAAGGGAGGGGAAAAAATAAAGAAAGAGTTATTAATAAGGATTGGAGATTATAAATAGGTTAGGATAAGAATATTTAAATATTTGAATATACTTGGTTATCTTCTTAATTATTTGTTATGAAAGAAAAATATGAGTATAAAAAATTGTAATGTAAGTACTGACAAAAATTGTGAGTATGTTCAAAATAAATATACAAGTTAAATTTCTTGTAGAGATTTCATTGATGTGTTATTGATAATATGAGATGAAAAATGATAAGGTAATCTAAAAAATAAAGAAAGGATCAAGTGAAATAAAAAGTTTAATTCATATTTACAAAGTTGAGGGAATATTGTTTTTATTAATTCAAAGATGATTTTTCAAATCTCTCAATCCATGTTAGGTATGTGTACACGTACATCATCAATTCTCGAAATTCCATTCATCTGTTTGTATAAAATAAATAAATAAAAAAAATAAAAATAAATACGTACCGATGACATGACGTAGCGATGACATGACATCAGATATTTAATGTTTTTTTTTATTTTTGCAATAAAAAAAAGGTTTTCCGTTTACAGTGAAAAGGGGGATATTTTTTACCAGATGTTAAAACAAAATGAAAGGATATTATTATATTTTTATTTTAATGATACTAAAACATTAATCTATGTTAAAAAAATATTAAACAACTTTTTCAAAAAATGCCGCACTTGAAGTTTATAATTAAAAAAACTTTTTTAACATAAAAAAAAACATATTTTTTCACATATTTTTTCACATATTTTTACATATCATTTAAAAAATTTAATATTTTTGTATATTTAATTTAATATTAATTAATTTTTCAATCTTTACATATATAATGTTTAATATAGACTACTTACTTTATAATTTTAATAACTCTCCTTTACCCCCAAGTACTTCTGTAAATTATTCTTTGCCAATCTCAGATGGGAATGATATGGAAAATTATCAATCAC